ATGTCGAAAAGAGTTCATACAGAAAAATATCATTTTATTAGTAAGAAAAGAATTGATTACTAAAGAATTTATTTTCTATCTATTAAGTAACAGTTATTTTTCTAACAAAGAATATTTTCTTGATAATGCTCTTCAATCAACACTTATTACTTTTACAAACGATTACATATTAAAACAAGAATTAATTTTTTTTTCTTTTTCAATAATTGTAATATAAAATTGCTCGAAGAAGCGACTTTATATATAATAAGTCGAATTTGTTTTAATTTAATAATATACTGAAAAATATTACGCTTAAAATTTAGAATATAATTTGAATGAATTTAATGTTTGTAATAAACTTATAATAAATTTGTAGGTATACGAACTTCAGAAATATTTGAAATATGTAATTATTATTTGCGTACAGTATGTATTTTTCTGTGTGTACATGTACTTTCAAAAAAGTACAACTGGTAACCCTACGCGGCACATGACAGGGGAAGGAGAGATCTCAGCTCATGATATTTATTTTATTGCCTCGCGAAAGGTTCCTCTTATTTCCGTACTCTATTTTCTCGCCTCGATCCACCTTCCGACACCAATCCACCCCGCCATAAATATATTTCCGAAATATATCGTCGTCTAAGCACATCGTGAACTATCGCGAGCATTCCGGCCAGTTTTGAGACCAATCGCGTCCGTTCAAACTATTTCTACCCCCTCCCCGCGACGAATTATTGATGTCCTTCCTCGCTCATTGACGCGATCCGTTTCGCGATTTCCCCAGAATAAACGTACTTTTCGTCGTGTTCCACGCGAGCCTCCACGTCCCCGAACCCGGGCCATGCTCGTGCTTCTGTTTACTCGAGAATCGTGCATGAGAGAAAAAGCGCGGGGAAAAAAGCCACGCGACAAAAAAAAAAAAAAGAATGAGTGACGATAACAATGACAAGACGGAAGGGTAAGACAAGGGTGGGAGAGAAAAAGCGAGTCGACACGATACGGCGATAAGAAAATCGCGTTGACGAAATCGATGGTGAACTGCGATGCGTTGAGTGCGTTAAATAGCGTTGTGTCTCGTGGATGTATGCGTGTTTGGCAGACGGATCGTCCGTCCGTTCGTCCGTCTGCCTTGTAGGTAGTTTCACACAGCGATCACGCGTGCCGATGTATCGATAATGTGGATTTGCGCGCAAGATGTGTATATATACATATATTGAGACCGCGCGGATTCGAGCGCGGAGAATCGGCGGGTTTTCTTCCCGTCTCCGGCGTTTCTCTGTGTTTTTCCTTCCTCTTATATATTTTTTTCTTTTTTGTTACACTAATTTAATTTGTACATAATTTACACTCTTTTTTTCTGTAACGAATCTAAACCTTCGTTAATTGTTAATCTTCCAGTTGCGTTGAATTTCGAATTGGGTGTCGCGCGGGTGAGAGGAACAAAGCGAGCGGCTGGCTTTCTATTCGTTATTGTTGTGTGCGTGTGTGCGTTGCCTTTTGTTATCCGCGCGGGGAACTTTGTTTGTAACGTAGATGAAAGGGGCAGGTCTGTTATGAAAATGATTCGCGAGAAGATTCGGCTGCGCCGGGTTCGAGGGCTCGAGAGAGAAAGAGAGAGAGCTGAAACGGACCACGTATCTGCCTCGCCGAATTTATTCGATTTTGTATTATTAGCGAGTTATATTAATTGATTCGAATCGAGTTCCTGCTAAATACACTGAGAAAAATTTCTGGTTGAAAGGTCTGAAAATGAACGAATAATAAGTTCTGATCGCATTCAAGCAGAATTCTTGTCATCATTGGACATCTAGTTACCTCCAAGAGGTAACCAGAATTATAATAGATTTAATTACAAAATTCTAATCTGTCCATTTTTTCCTTAGAATTCCCAATTAACGCAACCAGACTTTTTCCAGCGTAGCGACACGCGGAATGATTAGGGCAGCGAGCTCTCCCGTGAACGAGTCGAGGACGCTGAGGACGCATCCGGTGATTTCCGTCCCGCGTACACAAATCCACGGCGAGGCTCTTATTTCCTCCGCCGTCTGTGTTCCTCCGCGAGTGTCCCAACAACAATCTCTGTCCATTTCTCGCGAGAATCGTATCTCGCCGAAGTACGCGATATACAGGGTGTCCGAGACGGCCATCGAAAGAGAAAATAATTGGAAAATAATCGAGTTGTTCGAGAGAAACGAATTTCTCATCCTTAACTCTCAACTACAGCAATGACAACTGAAAACAAAATAGAACGCAAGTAAATCTTCGCCTTATGGCCTCTATCTATTGATAGAAAAAGGAAGATTCAAAGTTTTTTTTATCTACAATTTAGAACATCACAGTGCCAATCCTAGACGACACGCAACATGTAGAAGATGTCTTTATGATGTTTTTTTAAATTATCTTTTGCACACATTCTATATACAATAAGTCGTTACTTAAGCTCTTAAATCTTAAGCCGCAAGAAATTGACTAGTCACAGAACATGTGAGAAGACTAATCGTCTATGATTGGTGAACTTTTTGCGGCTTGAGATTTAAAGCTTCGGTAATGGCTTATTGTAGAAAATTGATTACCCATTATATGTTCGAAAAGACCTTCATGATGTCTTTATGACGTTTTTTAGACATAGATGTTGTCTAGGAAGACATTGTATAACCGTCTAAAAAATTTTCACTTCGGATTCAAATGGTGCTGTGGTCGAGGGTTAATACCAATATCGTCATTCGCGGAAATAACACGTTGAAATTCCGTCAAGGAGACATTTAGAAATTTTCCTATTATTTGTCGTGTAAAGTCCGAAGGATTGACGATTTCTGGGACACCCTGTAACAAGTGAATGATTTAGGCATCGAAGGAATACCCCTGGCACGTCGACTCGTTCATGGCAGAACCTCGTCCGCAATGCGAACATGGCGTATCTCGTCGAACGTCCAAGAGATATTCCAACTCTGGATCTGTGAACTTTCGAAAAAGGCAAAATCGCGAGAAACGCGAAAGGCGGACTCAAAATGCCGATTCTCCGATTCCGAGGGAGCACTCCGAAACGCAAAAGATCGGCGCCGCGGCGCCGGATAATCGCGGGAAATTAATTAAAGAAAAAAAAAATTATTATTATATTTATTCGAACGACTTGCCAAGTTTTGTTGCATAGTGTACGCGAGATAAATTTTAGACGGCAGTAAAAAAATCATACAAAAAAAAAAAGAAGGTAATAAGTCGGTTAACGATATGAATGATCTGGCGGGATTTAACGGACATAAGTTGCATAGCTATTGTGAGCAGTTTTCACGAAATATTGATGTATATATCTTAAGTTTGTATTATAACTCTCCCCACACTTAATTTGTATGAAATGAAGAATTTCGAACATTAAAATCATGAACGAAAGAATCGTCTTTACTTTCTCCGCCTCCGGCTTGGATTTTCTCCTCTTTCCACTATATATACGCTAAGAAAAATATTACCTCGACCAAACTTTGATTAACATAATCGACGAGTAATTCAATCGACCGAATTACAGCCAAATATCAAATTTTATTTGTCGTCCTTAATCTAATCTTTCCATGCGTGTTAAATAATAAAACAAAATCTATTCATATTAACAAAACAGATATTGTGGTCGACAAGTTTATCGGATTGGTTATCTCATCCATAGGCGTGGAATCTGGAATGTTTGTGTTTAACATTAAAAAGGGAAAAAAGATAAGCGCAATCAGAAAAACAACTTGTACGTAAAATAGAGTAACGCGGGATGTAGATTAAGGATAAGATTTCACAATTAGTTTCATTAGCGATTAACTCATTAAGTAGTACTTGCTTTATTTCTTAATATTATAAATAAAAGTATTAATTTTCTATTATTTAATGCATGGAAAGGAGCAACGAAATATATAATTTGCTTTAAATAATTCTTTCAATTCTCTTGAATTAGACTGTTTTTCTTTTATAAAGATACATATTCATTTCCATTAATGTAGATTAACTTCAATCTCAGTTCGAGTAGTACTTGCTCTCCATCTTTTTCCAGTTCCAAGAATTGAAGAAAGATGAAAAGTAAGTTAAATCAAGGTTGAAGTTATTTTACATATTGATAAAAACGGGCGATTCTCGACACGTGTCGTTCTCTCTTTGTTATTCGTTGAACGCCAAGAAGGGTAGAACGCTTGTATTGACAGTGTCTCCTAAAAGGAGATCGCCGATTAAGCTAATCAAAGTTTGGCCATAGTCGTTGGAAAAATATTACTTGCTTCCAGTGGCGTTAATATACCAGTCGATATTGTCAAATACAATCGGATGTGCTTTCGTTAAGCGAGAGCTTTTGTTATGACGCAGAAATGCGTGCGCAATTCACACGTAAGATTCACGCACACACATTTATTTTTACGTCGGTGCGCATGCACCCATCACCGGGTCGGTGAACATGGCAGGTGATCATCTGTTCCACGACGATTACGTTCATTCGAGAAAAGACTCCGACGACGAAGCGTTTAATTTGAACATAATTAATCGACTTGTCAACACTTTATCACGAGAATTATCTCTCGAGTCTTACTGGAAAATCAGGAACACTGTGAATGAAAGCATGAGTACGCAGGAGGCAGAGGTGAGCCTTATCAAAGCTTTTGCAATCACGTTTATCAATATTGTATATAAACTAGATAACAATTCCGAGAGAAATCGCACGCTTTTACGATGCCTTTTAATTATACGACAAGAGACGCTAGTGTTCTCTCATTAACCTCCAAATGTAAATATCGCGTCATACGATATATATATAT